AGTGACTGTACAACAACATCAACATTTGCGGATGACACTGCCATTCTCAGCCATAGTGACGACCCATTCACAGCCACAAAATCAGTTCAAGACCACCTCAACAAACTGCAAAAATGGCTCGATCTCTGGAGAATAAAAGTTAACGAATCGAAAAGTGTACACATAACCTTCACTCTACGACGAGATACCTGCCCTGCCCTTCGTATTAATGGAAAAGTAATACCACAATGCAATGACACCAAATACTTAGGAATGCACCTCGACCGAAGGCTTACGTGGAAAAAGCATATAGAAACCAAAGTAACCAAATTAAACTCAAACAACAAGAACTAAACTGGCTGATAAATAAAAATTCTAAACTTAATCTCACCTATAAAGTGCAACTTTACAACACAATGATGAAACCCATATGGACCTACGGAATTGAACTCTGGAGCTCTGCTTCTCCATCAAACATTGAAAAACTTCAAAGAACTCAATCAAAAATCCTCCAGCAAATAGTCGGTGCCCCCTGGTATATAAAAAACGCAAATATTCATAGAGATCTTCGAATTGACACAGTCACAGATGTAATTACCAGCAACACACAAAAGTACAAAATCAAACTCAGGAACCATCAAAATCCACTTACAAGCAACCTTACCCAAAGCGCTGGTACACAGCGACTCAAAAAAAACTACATAAACCCGGCTATTCAAGAATAACGCCCGACATGGTAACGAAATTGGACGAAGCTTTGGCTAAGGACAATTAATTATCTACTTTTCTTTCCTCAAATAATTTAATACAGCAATTAGCAGCGAAAATTTATTGTTAGTTCTAAGTTGATTTTTAGAAGATTCAATAAAAATCAAAATAAAATTAAAAAAAAAAAAAAAAAAAAAAAATTTTATGAATTAAAAATTAAACGTTTGACGGTTCGAATAGCAAAGAAAGGCAAAAGACAAAAAATTTTTTTATTTAATTTATTGAAATTTGGCTGACCAATACAACGCTGTTTCGAGTATTGCCAAGTACTCTTCATCAGTGGTCTTTGGAAATAATCGAATTTTTATTTAATTAGTTTATAGTCCGTATATAATTTGTTTGGACTGTAAGTGCCAGGCTTAGAACTCGTGCCTGCCAAATTATTGAATATTTCGTCATAAAAAGTCACGCCATTATCGGCAAGAAAAAATTTACCTTAAACGTTTTTCTTTGCGAAAGATGTTCTTTTTTGATTGTACAATAAGGATCTTAAACTAATTCTTTTATAAAAACGTTTTTTCGAACATTAGTGAACTACAACAACAAAAATTCACTTTTATATTATTTTAATTACTTGAATTTTCGGCTGACCATACATTTGTTTCGTGTATTGCCAAATATCCATTATCAGTTGTCTTGGTAATAATTCTTCTATTTAATTATTCGTAAATAATTATTTGAGACTGCAAGTACCAGGAATCGAACTCGTGCCCTACCCAATTTGAAGCTCAGAGTCAGCGCACTTTAATAAACTGACCCAAAGCCGTACTTGACTTTTATGTTCGCACATTTTTGTGGAGTTTTGTTACTTTGCTGTAAAAGTTTTATTAACAAATTCACTTACTGTGTTTATATTTGAACGAAATCGTAAACCAGTTGTAGAAGAATTAAATGAATTAATTATATTTTTATTTTTTTTTTAATTGTTAAATTTCTAATTCTAATATTCTAATTCTTTTATGTTGTATTGTATGATTCAGTTACTATAAATTCCTTTTTGAAGTATCCAATCTGTAATATGTCTTTGTTATCCAGAACAATTACCAGTGGACAACATATGTTAGTTTTGACATTGTATGTAGCAGTTTCAATATAGTCTGGAATAATATTAAGTATTGTGGTACATGGCATAATTGTTGATATGGTAAGTCCATGTCAGAAATTATATATTGGCACAAGTGTTTACTGATTACTGAAAGTTTACACCGTTTTTACAAAATGTTAGATTTATTTAAACGATTTTATTCCAAATACAATACCCATTGATTCAAGAATTTTCTTGTATTACAATTTTCATTCAATATTTAAATAATGTAATTAAATAAAGCACGCTGATTATCTCTAAGCTTTCTGACTTTTATACACCTAATACATATACGTTAGCATAGAGTTTCAACGAAGCATCAGTCTTAACAATAGATGTTATTTTGAGCTGAGTTGAAAATTGATATATGTAATCCTGTTTCGACAAATGAAATCCTGTTACGACAAATGAAAATCATGCATCACAACTGCTACTGATGAGAAGGCATTGTGAATATTTCATAGAAAACTTCTATGGAAGATCTATGATATCGTAAGTGTGATGAGTATTGAATTAGATGGTGTAATGAGCTGTATAAACTATTCGCGATATTGACATAGTTAAACGTTTTCTATACTGCTGATTTACTGACTTTGTAAACGAGTTCTATTCGGTTCCACTGTTGGAAAATATGGTAATGTACATATTTTCTGTGGAACGATCAGGTGACAATTGATTTGATGGTACTCGATACTATCAATAAGTTACAACACGTTGATAATAGAATTGGTTGGCCGGATACGGTCAAATACGACACGCATCTGTAAAGCTCAACTTACATTAACAATAAGCTGTAATGCTTATTACAACTTATTCGATATATAGGACAATCGAAAACAACATTAGTGCTTGTCTGTCCAGATCGGTTTGCGTCAATTAAGTTAGCATGATTAAGTTTAAAGTCAGCTCTTTTATTGTACCATGTATTAACACAAGTTAATTTAGATCAAATTTGCAAAGACTTATTATTTTTTTACTATTCAAAATCTATATTTTTAGGTTAACTTATTTAAATATATTGTAATCATGTGTTCTTGAAGGGATTCATTTAAACTGTCAGATATACCAACCTTTATTAAGTTGAGCGAATTTTTGATTTTTTCGTGTCATTGTAATTTAGTGCTGTTAATATTCAATATTTTATAAGGGAATGTTAAAATATGTCGACACGTCTCTAATTGATAAGCCTGAGTAGCAAATTCGCATTTAATGGTATTTCATAAAGCAGCTCTACAACTATAAACTATCAAACCATAACTTTACAGCAGGATATGGCCCATAAATATGAGTAAATTGGATGAGTGTGTGTTCACGAAATATAACTAATAACGCATAAGTAATAAGCAAAAAGTTACCAAACATTAGCAGTAGTGGGTGTTGGGTGGTGCCGACTATAGCAACCGAATATAACCCCAATAAACAAACTAATAAAACAAACAAAGACTAATGCCTGAGTAAGAATGATTGAAGAAGCGTCAAGGAAACCGAGCATAGTACAGTAAAGTCTTTTCCCGTTTTAAGAACCTAAAATATTGCACTGTACAACGCAAACTAATATTGGTATAAAGTGAGACATATTTGTGTGTTAAGTATATATAAGTAAAAAATTTATATATTTAATAAATATTTTGTTTTTTTTTAAGCCTTTAAGTTATGTAACTAAAATATCGTGAAGTAGTGAAAAAGTCAAAAATATTTTAAAGAACATTTTCAACCATGAACGCAGCAGTAAATAAAACGGATTTATTATGAAACATAAAAGGACAAGCGACGGAATCACGTCGTGTTATGTCTATATCGAAGTTACGAAGCAAATCCGCCTTAGGACGACATGAAAATGGCAAGGCAACAAAAAAACCAACATTAGGAGTGGCAGTCATAACTGCAACAACAACTAATAATGCAACACAATATGTTGGAGCTAACAAAGCTAATAGCAATTCCGGCAACGTAACACCAACATCAGCAACAAAACCCACAACAGCTATAACAACAACAACGACAGCAAAAATATCTGCTTCTTCCGTTGCACTTACAGTTGCAAATACAACTCAACAACCACAACAACAACCACAGTCACAGTTACAACCACAACAACAACAACAACAACAAAATTTACCTCAAAATTCCTTGCTGAAGATAGAACCATTTGTTCCTACTTTTAATACACGTTTACGTCGGCCTATTGGTCGCTCTTATAGTACATTAAGTTCAACATACATTAAGGCTGCAACTAATCTAAGCGGTCTACACATCGTCAAAAAAAATGAAGTTAGAAATGCAGGTTTAGTAGTGGGCGCTGCTATTGAAGTCGCACTGCCAAAAACAACACGAAACCCAGTTGGACACTTACGTAGCAGATATCATAATATTAAGACCATCACACGACAACGTTCTAAATCCACATCGTCATCGTCGGCGTCAGCATCAAACCGTTTAGCCGCTGCCAAAGGCAATAGCAACAATATTAGCCACAATAATACTAACGGCAATAATGTGTCTTACTCGAATAATGTCAATATTGTAACTGCAATCAATACCAATGGCGCAATTGTTACACCACAACCGAATGGCATTTGCCGCATAGCACGTCTACTCAAAGAACAAGAAAAATTACCGGATCGTATAAATTATGACCGTCGTGGACTTTCCGCAATTCCAATATTTGAAAATGAACCAAATCTGCGTTTGCTTTCATTGCAGCATAACTTAATCAATGTGTTCCATATACCAAAGGAAAGCACTGCCTTTTATATACCAGAAACTGTGACTCAACCAACTAAGCTGGATGATGTAGCCTATAACTGCAATTTTGGTCAGCGTTTAAATCGGCAAATCAATGCTAATCACCAACTAAGAACACAACATGGTAGTGTCAGCCGTTTTACTTTAGCATTGACTTCACCGAAATCGAGCAAGTCAAGCAATTCATTGGCAAACAAACAGAGTCCGACACAAATAAGAGCATTTCCAATACCGCCTCCACCACCACCATCTACACCCCCACCTTTAACAACCTATACAATACAGATTGGCAACAGTAACA